AAATGAGGCTGGAACTACAGTGGGTAGTAGCTAGAAGTAGCTAGAAGAAAATAGAATTGGACCTACTGCAGACAGTAGCCTGCTAGGAAGAGGACTGTAAATGTTAAGGAACATTACTGATGAGAGATGGAAAAGGCAGATAAAAGGAACCAGGAGGTTAAGTTTCCTCTTGTATTACATTGCTAATTAGGTTGAAGAGCTACTGGATGCTGTAGCTACAGGCTAAAGCTGAGTTTCTCCAGGGTATTCAGAATGTGGACTTGACTGCAAGCTCCTTCAGAGAGAGGCTTGTGAATAGTGTGATGAGCAGCATTCGTGCCGCCTTCTATTTGTGGATATTACCTATATCCATTTCTGATTTGGAGCACAAATTTGTTCCGAAGAGAGCGTCTGCTTCTCTCTGAACAGAGGCGTGGTGAATTGAGCCACCTTGGAATTATCTTTGTGGTAGTGAAGGATGTTCAGGTATTGTAAGAAGGGAGGGCTTAACTGTGCTGTTCAGTGCAGGGAAGTCTGCAGAACAAAAACTAGGTGATTGTGGCAGGGTGATTGGATCAGAATGACAGAGGCTGGACTCCTCCTGGTGGTGTACAGGAATGCAGGTGGGGAAGCAAGTGACTCCAGCCATCTAGAAAAAACAGCTGCCTTTCAGAGATTAGTTACTGGTCTGCACAGCCATCCTGCTTAGTGGAGAGATGATTAAAAGACCTTCCTTTTCTGGGACATAGTGAAGACTAGCTTATTTCACGGAAGGATCCTGGCACTAGATAGTAGCCTGATGGTGCTGCCAGCTTCTGCTCTGGCTGTGGGTTGCTTGACGCATGCTTGGCAGTTTCCATGTGTTGTGCTGATAGGTGACTGACACCAAGCTTCCTTTCTCATGTTTCAGGAGCTGTTGGCCAGATGCTGCTGGATGCTGACAGGGGAAAGCTGATTCGGAAACAAGTGGCCAGAAATGTTTGGACACATCATCACTTTGGATCTGTAAGTCCTTGTTTCAGAGAAAGTTGTCTGGAGGCACTGTGAGTATTTAAGTGTCTCTGAAAATTTTCAGATCATGAGGGTAGGTTTTGAATCCCAGTATCTTTTCCAGGTAGGTGGGGATGAGATGGAGGGTAGTGTAGTGGTTGGCTCTGGGGTAGGAAGCAGGACAGTCCTGTTTGGGCCTGAGGGAGCTATGTGCTAAGAGACAGGGAGGCCCTTGGCATGTTTGTTCTGAGCCCCACTGCAATGGGAACATGTGTGGACCCATGGGTGCAGCTGTTCCTGGAAGCCTCTGCTTGTCTGCCAGCCCATGTTGCTGATGCTGAGCCAGCTCCTGCTGGGAGTTGGTGGAAAAGCAGATTCAGACTATGCTGGCCTGGTCCTTCCTGGAGGTCTGTGTTCTCCCTCTCTTTGCTTTCTTCCCCTGTTGTGCTGTTATGAAGCTGTTTTTATTCCTGTGCTAGTTGAGACCCGACTATAGCATTGTAGTAAGGAAAAGGGCCAGACAGCTTGTTGGGGCAGGGCCAGCGCTAGGGCACCTATTTAGTTTGTTTTGGCAGAGCTTGAGTTTGCGTGGTCCTGGTTGCTTGCCTGTTCTATTCAGCTTCAGTCTGGTTTTCCCTGTGTATGTACAACTGCTGCACATCCTGTGCCCTCCCAGGGCTTGGTGCCATTGAAAAGGGAGAAAGCAGCACAGCAGCAGAAGCTCATCAGGGAAGAAAGGAAGGCTCCACTGCAGTCTCTCTCATGCTACTGGCAGTGTGATGGCCACAGAGCTATGCTCTTACAGCTAGCTCCCAGATCAACCCACTCCTCTTCTTGTAGTGATGGGTGCCTGTCATAGTTTAACTCCAGCCAGCAACTAAGCGTGACACAGCTGCTTACTTGCTCCCCCCTATACAAAACAAGTGATGCATAATGCAGTTGCTCGCCACCCGCTGACCAAGGCATAGCCAGTTCTGAGCAGTGGTCCTTAGCCAGCTTTCCCCTTAGTTTATATACTAAGTATGACATCATGGTCTGGAATATCCCTTTGGCCAGTTGGGGTCAGCTGTCTTGGTTGGGTCCCCTCCCAACTTCTTGTGCCCCACAGCCTACTCGGTGGTGGGGTAGTGCAAGAAGCTGAAAAGTCCCTGACCAGGGAAAGTGGTACTTGGCAACAACTAAAACGTTGATGTGTTATCAATGTTATTCTCATCCTAAATCCAAAACATAGCTACTAAGAAGAAAATTAACTCTATCCCAGTCAAAACCAGGTCAGTACCCTGGGATTTACAACAGAGAGGAATGTTGTTTCTGAACTTGTGTTATATATCCCTGGTTGGCTGGACACTTATTTTAGAGAGGCTTATTAGCAGCAAGGTAGAACATGGCATGCTACTTGCTGGAAGTCAGATTAGCTTGCCTTCCTCTCTAGTGGAGGTGTGGGTTATCACAGCTGTAGGCACAAGGACATAATGTTTTGGCTGGAACAAGAGCCTGATAATTGCCAGCTCATTTGTAGGTGAGAAACACTGACTTAAAAGAATGTGTGAGGTAATTGTTAGCATTACCAAACTTCTGTGCTGAAGGCTTCACAGTTAGCATCCTTGCACAGCTAGCAAGGAAGAAGTAGCTGGGAGGGTCCCATTTCATGGCAAGTTTGGTCCTTACTGGAACCAAGGTTTCCTTGAAGCTATTGCTTCATGAATTTTGGGTTTGTGTGGTCCCAGTTGCCCAAATGCCTTGGACATGTCCCTGCCAGGTGCTTTTCCAGCTCCTGCTGGGCTATGTGGCTCAACTACCCTAAGCTGATTTCATTTACTTTCAGAAGGTCTGATGCAGGTACCTGGAGTGACATGGTCATACAGTTGTTCTTGGTTATACACATTCCCTATTTCTAACATATTTATGGGGTGAGATTTCAAACCAGCTGCTTTACTGCATGCTAAACTGTTTGTTTCTCTTCTTCAGGGCATCTGTGTGAGTGTCCCTGCTTCATGAGGCTTTGAATTTGAGCCCAGGCTGGTAAGTGCTCAGGTCCTCATAGGTTAGAGATATGATTGTGATTTCGGCTTGGGATATCTCTGCATCTACTGTCCTTAGCCTGGATGGAATTGACAGAAGAGTCCCCTAGATCTCCTATTTGATCCTGTTGACAAACCTGCTTCTGCTCAGAATTTCAGCATTCCTAAGAAGTCAGACCCGTCTGTTTTGCTTGGGGATGCAATAGAATGTGCATGCAGTATGCTGAATGTGATCTTTCTGAGGTATTAGAGATTTCTTCACCTACTTGAGTCTTTTTAGGAGATGGGACCTTGAGGGAATGACTTCCAGCATTCTGGTGGTGGAAAAATTTACATGTTAATGCTAGGAAGTTGTTCATGACTCTGGAAAGGTGTGAGAATCTTCTGTGAGCTTCTGTTTTTAGCGGAGTGGAGGCCAGCTTGCAAAGTGTAAGTGTAAAGCCTGCTGCGGCTTGGAGCCACTTTGTGCTTGGTGCAAACACCTCACATGCAACAGTCCTCCCAGAGGACTCAGTCTAAGTGTCAAGAAGATGCAGATAGGCAAGAGGGGTAAAAATTGGAGAGAATTCTTGGGGCTCCATTGAGACACTTAACATGTAAAACTCCACTGGCCAAAACACAAAGCAAGTGAAATCTGCTAGGCCACTGGCCCAGTGGTATCCATTGACTGAGCTGCCTTGAAGGTATGTGAATGGGAGTCAAATGGCCCTGCCTGTAGAAGCAGGGAGAAGGTGATATGAGTTGATATGAGCACTTTGAAGTGCTGCAGGTCAAGTGAGGATTGCATAAATGCTAGGCTTGATCAGTGTTAGGATCCAGCAAGTGAAGGGGGAATGAGAAGCAGGTGCTTACCTCAAATTTAGGGGAACTATGAACTATATGTTGTCATCAGGGAATATCTGGTACTGGGCTCTGCAAGGACTGCTTGGCAGCTCCAAGACGTCTTGTCTTGTGTACAATGGGGTGGTTGAAATACTGGCTGCTTGGAGGCAAGTCTTCCTGCCCTCCACTGCAGTCCCAGCATGGTGGAAAGGAAGGAGATTCTTCCATGTGGACAAGATAGCTGCTTTCCTTCTACCCCATTTATTATTTTTCTTTTTGCTCTTGTACTGCTACAGCTCCTGCATCAGCTCCATGCCCAGCATGGCTGGAGTAAAGGGACTAATTTGGTCTTTCCAATAGTGGTACTGATGCATGTTGCAAAATCTGGCTTAAGGTACCAACATCAAGAGCATTGCCATCCTAATTGGATGCCACCTATGACTTGGGGGTGGTCTTTGTTTTTTCTGACAGTGAGCATTTGTTATGGTACCTCCTTCTGACAAGTCTCCTGTGGTCTGTTCCATTGGGATTCCAGTGTAAGCCAAAAACTTCTGGGTTTGGGATTTTTAATGGTTGGAGTCTCCTCCCACATAGTCCCTGCTGACAGTGACAGAACAGGATCAATAACGAGTGCTCCAGCTGTCACTGCTGCCTGTAAAGGCTTGCAGTTTCCATATTGGAAAAGGCCTTTCCTAAAGAGCCTAATCAATAGCTGCTGTGAGGTCTGTTCTCGTTTGCTATATATAATCCAGATACATACAAACTGCGTGTGTAGAGGGGGGAGAGGATGTGCCAGCCCTCTGCTATCACTGGTTGGGAGAAGGACACAGCTACCTCTTACTTTGCTCCCTCTCCTGCAGCTGCTGCTCAAGGATTGCGGCCACATCCTTTCCTTGCTCTATTAACACTCTGCATGGGGACCAGCCCTGGGACTCCAGGAGAGCCAAATTCCTGCTGGGTCACTTCTAGGGTTCAATGGAGCACCTGTGACTCTCTCCTCTATGCACTTTCTGCTGTTGGTAGGTAACCTGCTTTCGGAGCCACACAGGTGGGAGGATGTCAAGCACCGCTCCATCAAAGAAGCCTTACCGCAAGGCACCCCCGCAGCATCGGGAAATCCGCCATGAGGTACCCATCATCAGGGATGACCAGGATGGAGTGATCTTGGCTGAACAGAGTCAGGTAACAGCTTGCCGGGTGGCAAAGGGCTTAACACCATTGCACCAGCAAACGGGGTTTAGTTACAACAAGGCAGGACAGCTCAAGCAGGCACAGGGGTTTGAGGTTTGCGATCTGAATTTCTCCTCATCGTGGTCCCTGGAGTCCAGCAGTGAGAAGGAAGTGACAGGGTGCAAAGCAGAGTTGAACATCAAGAGCCAGACTGTCTCGCCAGCACTTCCTCGTGGTGGGAAGATGGGGCAGCAAAGTGGAAGGCGGTGCCCAACCCGCAGTCATGGGCACCACAGTAGATTTGTGAGCCGTAGCATGGAGACAGTTGTGGTGCCTGAAGATGAAAGACACCATCCCACCTGCTCTTTCAAGAGCAGAAGCCTGGAACGCTCACTTATGTTTAAAGAGCCTCCTGAAGTGCTGACACCAAGGAAGTTTCAGGTCTCCTCTACCCACCTGCCTCTCAAAGGAATCCTGAAGCAGACCAACACAGGAGGCCCGTGCCCTGAGAGCTTGCGCAAGTCCCAGTCAGTGGAGACGCTTTCCCGTGGCCGCAGCTCGCGCAAGTACAGTGATCCTCAGCTCTGCCTCAGCCCACAGGAGAAGCAGTCACTGGAGCACAGCAGCAGCAGTGCCGCTGGCTCTGTCAAGCGCAGGGAAAAGATCACAGAGGAAAAACTGCAGTTCTCCAAATTCCTGGATGAGATTACCCAGCGGGTGCTGAGTCCTATCCGCTTGCGTTCACTGCGAGAGACCAGGGGAGCAGAACAAGACCAGAACTTTACCCTTCTCCCCAGATCTGTGCCAGAAGGCCAAGGGGTTAAAACCAAGCGCGTAGCTGAAAGATCCCCCTGCCTGAGGAGAAGAAAAGCAGAAATTAAATGTGAAGAGCTGGGAATGGCTTCATGCCAGAGAAAGTGTTCTGAGGAGGCTGAGAGAGCTTCCAGACTAAGAAAGAAACCTGCCCTTGGGAGGAAAGACAGTAAGGGAAAACTCCTTTCCGTAGAGAGGAGGGTAGTAGATCTGTGTCAGTATGAGCTGAAGCAGCTGGCAGACCTGGGGCTGGGAGGAACATCCTCCAGGCAGCAGCACTCACTATCTTCTTGGAAAAGCAGTGCAGAGGGCAGAAGGGATGAAAGCAGTCCTCGTTCACAGCTACTCCAGCCACACCATCTGTGTGCTAAACTTGGGCAGAAGAGTGCAGTGGAGCCGAACTATTCAGAGAAAGGATCCTTCTCCACTCCAACATGCTGGAGTCAGGAGGAAGGGCCTGCCCCATCTAAAGCCTCCCCTTCCCTGAGCCTTGCACTAAACAAGGTAGGTGCCAGGGCCATTGGCTTACAGACAGGGGTCTCGCAAAAGCCAAAGCCTCCACCTGGATCTCATCTAGTCTGTAATGCCAGTGGGGAGAGTGAGAGCCTTTTGCCTGGCCACTAGTACCTGCTGTTTATGTTTCTGTGGGGGCAGAAGTAGCAGTTGCTAGATAATTTTGCATTAATTAACTGATTGCCATGTGGGGTCAGGATGTGAGAAAAGAATGGATTGGTGCTTTGCCTTCAGGGATAGAAGAATGTATGCAGGCGGTAAGGATCATTCTTTTAAAGTGTGCATTGATGAAGGAAGCAGCCCCGTGATGTCTTAAGGCCAGGACTGGGTGGTTTGCTTCTGTAGTACTGCTAGCAGCTCAACAACCTGATTCACAACTTTCTGTGACATGGCCTCTCTGCCCAGAACCGGCTGTGACACTTAATGGACAACCTGAAGCATGGCAACACTTTGGGTTTGTGCAGTGCTGTTAGTACCAAGCACCAAAAATAACCTATGGGCAGCTTGGGCTTTGTGGTAATGGTCAAAGACTTGGGCTTTCACAAAAAGTATTTTGCTTCTGATGCTAATGAAATCTCTGCCAGCCATGCTGGCAAGCAGCAGCCATCTCAGGGGTTAACACAGAGAGTGCAAAGGAAGTGAGAATAGATGAGGGGTGTGCTCTTGTCACTGTGCTGTATCCCCATGTTCCGTAGGTCCCTCCTCCAGCAGTCTCTGGAGAACTTGCCCAGAACATTAATTCTTTCACAGCTTTTTGTGACCTTCGGTGTTTGTTCTGCTATCCTAGAATAGTTACAGTGGCTGGTTTCAGGTCTGCAGAAAGGAACCCTTTTCACAGCACTGTCTGGGTGGTGGAAATGGTAGCACATTTTTCAGCTCCCAAATGACTCTCATTCTTTTTGTGGGGCTTCAAGGGTGTTGTGATTACTGTCATGACAATTTAATCATCAGCATATTCTGGGCTGTTAGATTCCTGCTACCCACTAACTGCGGTTGTGGAGGAAGCTGAAATACCAGCTAAGGTGGTGGTGTTACAAGAGATGCCGAGACTGAACCGTGGGAGAGTAAAGTTGCCTAACTTGTGTGGTGGTTTCTAGTCTAACTTTTCTACCCTGAACCAGAACACATGGTCTGGCTTGGTATAAAACAGCTGAGCATTGTGTACGGATCCTGGAAGGGTCTAGCAACCAAGACTCTGCCCTTTAGGACAGTATGAGACACCAGCTCCTCCTTTGAATCTCATAGCTGTTTTCTTCCCTGTGCAGGAACCCTTGACGGATGCAGAAAGGATGAAGTAAGTGTCCTGCTCCCCCTTTATGCCTGTCATACTACAACTGTGTGGGTGCTGATTCCTCACATCCTTCCCTGTGCCACCTGCACAGTGAAGCCAACTGGACCTGTCGGCTCCTCTCAGATCTTCAGTCTTCTTGGGGCCATGTAGGCAAAGCTCTAGTCTTTGCCTTGCCAGTGTCTGCCTTGCATATCTCTCCCTCTGGAGAGGGAGGGAGCAGAGATCCTCAGTGTGGGTGGTGGCAGAAGAGTTGGTGGGTGTGAAAGAAAGTAGGAGATGAAGCCTTTAATATAAGTGGAGAGAGGATTGCCTTTTTTAACCCTCTAGTTTTGGTGTAAGCCACGAGAAGCAGTATGCAGAAGCCTGCTGCTGACTGAGGGTGAGAGCTGAGCTCTTTACTAGTGGTCGCGTGGGGCACAGAAAACTGCTAGCACAGAGCTCCAAGCCATAGTGAAGAGCAGGTTTGCACTGCCAAAGAGAAGCAAGCTCTTCTGGGTTTCTCCAAGCAACTGAGCACAAAGGAATGAAAAATAACAGGAAATCATTCTGACCACGAAGCGTGTCCTGGCTGGGGAGGAATGAAGCAGTTTGTGTTGGAATGGGATTGACTGGCAGCTGTGATCACATCTGTAAATGCACCCCACCACCTCTGCTTTTGGGATTAAGGCTGTATGGAGTCCTCTTTCCACCATATATTAAGGGGTGAGGGCTTTTGAACAGGTTCAGGGGAGATGAGTTTACTCTTTTTGCCTTCAACTCTTCTAACCTGGACTGTGATAAATTATTGACTGGGTTTCATTCACTAGTGAAGGACACGGGAGCTGCACAGCTCATCTGGCTAGTGGGCTTTATTCAGGCATTGTAACCAGAGCTGGTAGCCATGGCTGGCCAGCTGGTACGTGCTTCTTTGTCCCTGTTCCAAGAGAGTTGGAGCCTCTCTTTCCTGATACAGGTGCACCTCTCACTGCATGTTCTGGAGTCTCCTGCCACTTCAGTTCTTGGCTTTATGGGGCCCCCACGTGGGGTCTCGGGCCCTAGAGCAAGACAGCAGGGTGGAGGTGCTAGTGTGGAGTACCCTTTGTGCACTCAGTGATACGTTGTTCCTCTGTGCCACAGGCTATTGCAGCATGAGAATGAGGAGCTGCGCCGCCGGCTGACGTATGTGACTAACAAAATGGAGGCGATGGAGAGGGAGCTGGAGTCTGGTCAGGACTACCTGGAGATGGAGCTGGGCCAGAACCGTGAGGAGCTGGAGAAATTCAAGGACAAATTCCGTAGGTATGAAAAAGAAAACCAGAGTCAGAATCAGAGAGATCCCTCCCACTAAGTACTCGCTCAGCTGGCATTGAGCAGGCTGTGCCCTGTTCTGCGAAACAAAACCATGCTGCATCCTCAGAAAGGTGCACTCCTAGATTGTGGGGGAGTTAAAGACTCTGCAGCCATTCCTTCCTCCAGGGTACAGTATAGGAATGCTGCCAGTGTGAGGGACAGGAAATTCTTCATCTGTTGGATGGAAGGCAGGATCCAGCTTGGATGGTTACTCAGCATGTGTGAAAGGAGCCACTGGTGGCTCCTTCTACACTCCATTCTCTTGATGGCTACAAAAGAATACATCACCAGTTTACCTGGAAAGTATCTCAGTTAAAAATCAATGCCAATCACTGGTCACATGCTAATACATGACATAGCTTGAGGAGTCCTCCAAAGTCATTTATACCCTCCTCTGCAAGATCCTTTCACCTAGCCAACCTTATCTTGCCTCCAGTAACATGGGGCCTGAAGGCCATTATGTGGTAGAGGTAAGGCATAGCTAATATACCTGGTTGTCTTAGTACCAGTCTTTCTGTAGTTGTGGAGTTGGTGTTTTGCTTGGCAGCTATGAAGAGGACTTGAGTAGGTGCTTGAGATCCGTTCCCATGTGTACAATCTTGTTTCTATAGGTTGCAAAACAGCTACACTGCTTCCCAGAGAACCAACCAGGACCTGGAGGAGAAGCTGCATGCCCTGGTAAGTGCCCTATTAAGTAAGTACAGAGAGGAGGTAGAAGAGACCTGTGTGTTAGGAGCAGATGGGGTGAGAGGCACTGGCTTTACTCAGCAGATGTGGTAGTGGGTGAAGGGTGAGATTCTGGCCATGACTATCTATTCCCCATTCTTGCTAGTGTCATGAACTGTTTTCTTCATTTACTGAGCCCCTACTTGGTCATGCATGTGAGCTTTGGCTCCCCACAACACATAATTGCATGGTATTCCGTCATGTTGCTTCAGTCCCTCTCAAAATGCCAGTCTCTGGGTGGTCATCCTGGGAGGATGGGGGCAGTCAGAACAGAACCAATGTGCGTATATGTCTGTTGTGTGCATTCATAACACTCATGGCTGTTTCTTTTCTCTCCCTCCCCCTCTCTCTCTCCTCCCCACGCTGCCGCTGGCACACGCTGGGCGCACTCACCTCTCAGGCCTCTCTCAGCCAAAGCTGGATTTTTGCAGTTGCGTCTTTTCGTTTGTGTGTTTTTTCTTTCTCCTCTTTGCGTGTTTCAGCCTGTTGGTTCCATTGTCAGTCCCACAAACACCACCCCAGATGGAGGGGCCCCGGCCCTCGTCCAGCCAAGGGCTCACCTGGTATCCAGCAGCTGCCCACAGATGCAGCACGTCCCAGCTTGCAGTGCTCCATCTGAAGAGTGTTTGACTCTGAGCCAGCTGGAGCATGGCGTGTTGGGAAGCGGTGCCCATAAGCTGTGGCACTGCACGAGATACAGATGGCTATGAGCTTTGTTTGCTCCCTTTCCTTCCCCTTCCCAGCTGTGAGCAGGCAAGTTGAAGAGCCGAGATGCTGACTGTGCCTCCCTGTATCTCAGGATGAGATTTCCTTGGTTCTAGCACTTGAATTTCTTGAGTTTATATTCATTGTGCTGGTGCCTGAAGAGACCGTATATGTGGAAAGCACTGTCCTACCTGACCCCCTTGTGTGTTGCTGTGCTGCACCCTGATGCACAGCTGGGCCCTGATTGTCTCAGCCTCGAGCACCCTTGTGCAGTGTTGGAAGAACTTCTTGAGAAGGGAATGGCTTGGTTGTTCTGAATTGTTACCCCTCTCTGCTGTTACATCTGGGTCTCTATCAGCCCTGCATCTCACCTGTTAGGGACTCTAAAGAGGCAAGATTGTCTGCTTTAGGGAGGGCATTAACTGACCTCTAGGTGAAGCTATAAAGGTCCTTTTTCTTACTAGAGCAAGGCTTAAACCCTTTAAAGATAATGTCCTCACCCTGCCAAAAACCCTTTTGTCCATTCAGCACTGACTGCTGAATCTTTATGGGCAGTGTTCTTGTTCTGTTGCCCCAGAGAAGAGGGCTGGGTATCAAAAGCTCAGAGGTCTTTGCTGCCAATGGCAGGATGGGATTGATCGTTCAAAACCGCTAGTTTTCCACAAGGCACTGTGTGAACCAGGGCAGAGAGGATACATGGTTGTGCTGTAGAAAGAGATACTGTGTTAAGGAGGTTTGAACTCAACCTGTTCTCTGTAGCTGTCCCCCTTGTCTGTCCAGAAGTTTTTGTGTCCCAGCTGAGCATGTCTTTGTGCTATCCTCGGGTAGGGGTGGGTGGTGAAGCCAAGTGCTTCTCTTCTGGGGGGATTTACATCTGGTGTTCTTACATCCCAGATTAAAAAGGCAGAGATGGACCGCAAGACACTGGACTGGGAGATTGTAGAGCTCACTAATAAATTGCTTGATGCCAAAACCACCATCAATAAACTGGAGGAACTCAATGTAAGTGTTAGTCTGCAAATGGCTGTGAAAGTCTGTGAGGTGTAGGCTTTTCCTCTTGTTGAAAGTTGTTAGTGTAAAGAAGCGTGTGAGTGACTTCATTGTGTGTGAAAGTGTGGAAGCTGTGCACAGCAGTAGGGACAGACAAACAGAAAAGGGTCTGAGGGTTTGAGCAAGGAAGACGTGATCTTCAAGTCTGATGTACTGGCTCTTCTAAGTTCAGTTTGACCTGAGTCCAGGCTCTATCAGCAGAGGGGTCATTTACTCGAGTGCTGGGAGGAAGTTGATGCTTTTTCTACACCATCAATAGAGAAGTTCCTGGGTTTGTTGCTTGTATCTATTAACTGCCCTCAACTCCCTCCAATCTGTCTGTTTGCAAGAGGGCAGTGTCTTCAGGCATGGTTGAGAGCTTTGGGGGGGGATAGCAAATCTGGTGGGACTTTTGGAGACTATTAAAATCTCCTGAGAGAGAGAGAGTGTTGACACACTGTATGTGTCTGGACAAGGACTGGAGTTTAAAGGAACACCTTGACTGAGGTGAAAGAAAATACAAAGGGGTGTGGAAAAGAGGGAATGACAGGTGTCCTCATGAGTGATTCATCACATACCTCTTCCTGCTTCCATGCCAGCAGCATCTGATCAGCTGGTGCATTTTTGGGTAAGAGATGGGTCCAGTCTAACACTGTTGCACCCTATGCCCTTCTTGCAGGAGCGCTATCGACAGGACTGTAACCTTGCAGTACAGCTGTTGAAGTGTAACAAGTCCCACTTCAGGAACCACAAGTTTGCTGATGTGAGTAGCAGTCCTGCGGAGGTGGGGAAGAAGGGCTTTGTGGTCCTGCCTGCATCTTGCTTGCTTCAGCCTTCTCTGCAGGGCTGTTGGTCTCCTTCAACCTCAGACAGAGGGTAGGGGAGGGCTCCTGTTCCCACTCCCACTGAGAAGCATCACAGAGCCTCTGCCATCTCCTCTTTCACGCCAGCTCCATTTCACAGATCAGCTAGGAGCTGTTATAAAAAGCACAATAACCTTGAATTTGATAGCCTGCTGGGTGCCTGATGGGAGCTGGCAGGAGGACAGATCTCTCTCTTACCCTGCTCTGTCCCCTTCCTCACCTGTCCACATAGAAGGTCCACGTGCCTGATAAGGAGTTGAGCTGCAATAGTCTGGCCTGGCTTCACTTCTTACTCTGAGGAGAAATGTGGGAGGCAGCATTCAGGGTGTCTTTTAGGCCTGAGTGGGAGAAGTTGGTACCAAATCATACTCCCCCTTGTGGAGCCTGTTCAGCTCACTGTGCCCTCAGGATAAGCAAATACTGAGTTCAGGCCTTCAACATTAGTAGCATCACTTCTTCTGTTGGAAGTATCATTCAGGCCCCTACCGCAGCTCTCTCTTTGCAGTACCCCCAGTCTCCATCCCTTCTTAGGTTCCTCTCACCAAAACCACGTGCTTGTCTTTTTTAACTTAGCAGGTGACCAGTATGTCACCCTCCCCATTGTGTCTCAAATTAGCACTCTTGAGGTCAGCGTATCAGTTACTGCTCGGGTAACCTTGACCTCTCTCCCAGCTGTCCCCCCTCCCTGGAACTTTGCATTCTGCCCCTCAGAGCATCGTGTCTCACATGGCTTCACTGGCAGGGGGTTGGTGCTGAGCAGCTGTGCAGAGAGCCTCGCAGCCAGGTGTTGTCATGCAGTGTCCCCCCTTTCCTCCTGCCTCTGATGGGCCAGACCCTGAGAGAGAGCGCTCTGCTTTCCACTTCATGTGGTGCATGGATGTGGTGACTGAGGTGAGGGCAGCCTGGCAAGGTGACGGGGAGAGCTGTAGTGCCCATTTGCAGGAAAACAAGCAGTGCTGAGACCCCAGTCCTGCAGTTTTGGTAATAAACCCCATGTTTGTCTCTTTGAAATGGGGAGAGTGAGGAAGTGGGATGAGTTGGTGGGAACAAGGGAAGGCATCGATTCTGCTCTGTGGGCAGGCTGCCAAGGCAGCATAGCTGCAGTAACTGTGTTCAGGGAGCACTGTGAATCCCAGCACTGGGGGCTGTTGAGTCGCTTCAGTGCAACCACCAGCTGATTTTCCACAGATCAATAGACCTCTTCCTAGCATGCACTGGTTGAACTTTGTCTCTGTGCTCACAGGCATGGGGGACTGAGCCCATGGGCCGTCTTCCTCTCTTTGCACAGCAGGGCCTGCAAACATGGCCCAGAAACATGACTAGTGTGACAGCTAGATCCTTGACAGTTGCTCATGAGGCAGGTTAGCTTTGGAAAGAGATGCCTTTCTCAGGGTAAGGTAGGTGAATGTTAGGGTCAAAATGAGGAGTACAAAGAACATGTGAAGGTTGGTTGGAGCAGACAGGTTTGCATGGCATCCCCCTTCTAATGCCCTTTTCCTTCTCCGTAGCTTCCCTATGAGCTGCAGGACATGGTCAATAAGCATTTGCACAGCACTCAGGAGTCCGCAGGCCCTGGTCAAGAAGCAACCCATACATTGGCTCCATCTGATGTTGTTCCCACCTCGGTCATTGCCAGAGTCTTGGAGAAACCAGAATCTCTGGTTCTGAATTCAGCCAAGTCTGGCAGTGGCAGCTGTCCCATGGCTGAGGATGTCTTTGTGCACGTGGACATGAGTGGTACGCCTCCTGATGCCTGCAGCAGTGCAGGACAGTTGGGGAAGGAGGGAGGAGATGCAGGAAAACAGCAGAATGGTGGCTGCAAGCCTCAGAGCAGTGTGGAGAGTGTACCAGAGGAGGTGCCTGCCTTTGAGAAGCTAAGCCCATACCCTACACCATCCCCTCCCCATCCGATGTACCCTGGTCGCAAAGTGATTGAGTTCTCTGAAGACAAGGTAAGGATCCCAAAGAACAGCCCCCTGCCCAACTGCACGTACGCTACGCGCCAGGCCATCTCCCTCAGCCTGGTGCAGAGTGAAGACGAGAGCTGTGACAGGCAGCGAACGCTCCCCAACAGCCCTGCCTCAGAAGGGCGCCGTTCGGCCTCCAGCTGCTCCTGCCAGCAGTCGCCCAAAGCCGCCCGGCCCCACGGCTCTTCCCAGAGCAGCCCCTTCAGCAGCCCCCCCCAGATCCCCAGCGCCTTCGCCAGCTCCGCCAGCTCCGAGGAGGACCTGCTGGCCAACTGGCAGCGCATGTTTGTGGACAAGGCTCCCCCCACCTCGGAGCGGGTGCTGATGAACCGCACGGCTTTCAGCCGGGACACGGCCCCCGAGCTCCAGAAGAGGTTCAGCCGCTCTATGCAGGAGCTGGGTAGGGCGGCCTCGGTTTATTCGGATGGTGAGGAGTCTGCACAGAGCTGCAGCTGGACTGTGAGCCGGGACTCGAGCGTGGAGACGGACAGCACGGAGTCCAGAGCCCGCAGGAGCCATTTCTCCTCAGACTATGGTACAGATTTCTCCCAGGATGAAGCTCAGAAGCTGTTGCAGGAAAGTGCTGGGGGTACCGCTGAGCCTGGAAGCCCCTCACCGGAGAAGCACAAGGACTATGTAGACCTTGGCCTGCCTGAGAGCCCAGCTGAGGAGAGAGAAATGTTGCTCCAGGGAAGCAAGGAGAGCAACCAAGGAGGTGCCCAAGAGGAAAGTGGAGAAGGCAGGGTCAAGCCTCCCTTCAGTCGGCCGCACCGCAGCCCCAAGAGGATGGGGGTCCACCACTTACATCGCAAGGACAGTCTGACGCAAGCCCAGGAGCAAGGCAACCTTCTCAGCTGAGGCAGGGCAAGGAGCAGCCACACGCTGCAGAGCTGTGGAATGCCTCCATGTGTCCACTTCTGAGGAAGGAACCCCCTTTAGTACCCTCCTCCTGGGGGGCTCTGCTCTGAGATTTTGTATTTATTCTCTTCTTTTGCTACCTGGAAGAGCTGGAGTCCACCTTCCCCAGCACCTCAGACCCACAGTACTAGCACACACAGTGTGCAGAAGCGCACCCACTGCCCTGGCACAGTCGCAGCTCTCTTCACAGCCTCACACTGGTGCCTGTACCGAAGCTCATTCTTGGTACTCCTCGTCCTGGTGCCTGTGCCTCTTAATGCTCACATCTTCCTTTCCCCTTCCCACTCAGGTACCTGAGGCCCTGGGTGCTCTCACGCTGGTTGCCTGCAGCTGCTCTGCTCTCTTTCAACTTGTGCCAACAGGGCAGAGTGCCTGTGTGGTGGTGTCTGATTCCCTGGGAGCCCCCAGGGGCTGTGAGTGGGGCACCAGGACTCTCCCAGCAGATGGCTCTGTGCCCCTGGGGATGTGCTGGGATTTCTGGTGTCTCATTTTCCTGCTGGTTTTGTTTTTCCCAGCTGCCCTCTGGGTGGTTCTCCAGAATCTGCCTCTGCAGGTCCCCATCACTTGGCTCCTGCATTGGGCTCAGCATCCAGGCCCCCCCAGGGCAGTGCATGGATGCTGATGCTGTGGCATGGGGCATGGGTGCTGTTTGCTGGGGTGGTTTGGGGGAGGCACCACCTGGGCACTGGGATCCATGTTTGTGTGCCCCTCAGACCTTCCCCTGCTCTTCGTGCTGTTGTTTTGTTTGTACGGTGCTGATGCTTCGCTCTTGGGTGGGCTTGCTTTCTTCTTTCCAAGCCTTTGGTTTTGGGGTGTATTGTTTTTCCTTTCTCCCCGCCCTGCATAAACAGACACAGCCGCTGGCAGCCAGTCTGATGCCTGCACTGAGGGTGTGTTGAGGAGGCTCAGCTTGGAGCTGTGCTTCCCTCTGATCCTGGCCTCCAACCTGCAGAAACCCCTCCAGACTCAAGAACAAGGTCTCGCTCCAGGCGATCAAGGTGTGACGGATGCCACTGGGCTCAGTGCAGGGCTGGCAGGGATGTGAGGGCAGCTCCCTGTAGACACACTACCTCATGGCTCAGCAGCAGCCCTTTGCCAGGGGCTCCTCGCACACCCCCTTCTCGGGGGGCTCCAGGCTGGCTCTGGTGCCTCTCTGGGGCCTCCCCTTCTGGATAGGGCCTCTCTGTGCTTTTCTCCTAGTGTGGTGTGATAATGTGTTACTTTTCATCTCGGTCTTTTGTGCTGGGTGTCTTGTTAGGGGGGAGGGAAGGGGAGAGGTCTGTAGATGTAGGTATTTTTCTGAGGGCTTACGAAGCCCAGGCATCCTGTTTTAACTGTCTTGTGCCCTTGTCTGTCTGGTGTTTCTTGGCTCCCCGAGGGGTGCAAGGTAGGGTAGCCTGGTTCCCTGTGCCATGCCCCCTTGAACCCAGTGCTGTCTGGATTTTGAGTTGGGTTTGTGTTGTCTTCCCACCCTACTCAGCGAGGGCTCTTCACTGGGCTGTGGCCAGCAGCCCTCTCTCTGGGAAGGGAGCTTCTGTTCATAGCTTACAGCAAGATGTGCAGCCAAGAGCTGCCTCGGGCCCTGCTCCCCTCCCGAAACCCCTGTCTCTGCACAGGGCCTGCAGCTGGGGCCAGCCAGGGCTTCAGCTCCAGCCTGGAGGCTCCAGGGCCTGTGAAAGGGAGATGCAGGCGCCTGTGGCGGCTCTGTAGGTTGCTTTACGTCCCCTGCTGCCTTGTTTCCCACCTCTAGCATCGTGGAGCTGATGCCACCCTCTGGCGGGGACTTGGAACTCGTGTTTCACTACAGTATTTTGCTGGAAACCTGTGCAAACAGGCTGATGCTGAGAGCAGGATCCTCCTCTGAGCCTGCAGGGTGTTCATCTACCCGGACCTGAACGTGGTGGTGAGGTCCTTGCGTTTGCTTTCATCAACTGCTCCACTGCTGCATTTCTTCTGTTCTTCTGCAGCTTTGCTGAGGGCTTGTACGTGCAGCGGCTGCCAGCTCCTGCCTCATGGACATCACCTGGGCTTGGATGCTCACCAAGTGAGCTCCTCTGGCTCCCTGAGGGGGAGGTGTTGCCCCATCTCCCCGTGTGCTGGTCAGGGGACCAACCCCACTCTTGCTGAAGCAGCTAGTGTGATGGTGCTGGGCAGAGCCAGCCTCCCTCTGCTACCTTTGGTCAAAGTAAGCTTAAAAGAGAAATGGAGAGGTGGCAAAGGGGTGCCCAGTGCCTCACCAGACCCTTCTTCATAGCATTAGGCTGCTGGCAGAGGTTGAGGGGGAGCCTCAAGAGGAGCAGAGCCCTCTCCCAGCGGCCATGGTGCCTGACCTCTGCACTCAGCAGTATTGGCTCTGGGGCCCTGAGCTGACCCATTTTCAGTGTCCCAACTCCAGACTGTTAATCTGTAACTAATGTGTTTTTTTCTGACGTTTTCAAACTGATGTATATTTTAAGACCAGAAATAAACTATTTTAAAAGTAGGTGGCAGCGGCTACAGTGTTCTCTGCTAGCTAAGACCTGAACTGATCCTGAGCCTGTGAGGGAGCAGAGCCTCTTGTACAGTGCCCCAGGGTTGCTGAACTGTGTGTGCTCTCCCAGGGAAGAGCCATCCTGCGACCTGTAAGCTTTCCAGAAGCTGTGAACTCATTGGTCATCCTGACTGCCCACTTTAGCAACAGCCTTATTCCAGGTGCTTGTGCAAATCAAGTCATCTGTGGTGGAGAAGAGGTGCAATCCCAGGCAAGGAGTCATGGGTGGGGATGAGCTGTGGTTTTCTTCTTTAATCTTATCGAGCCTCTGCAAACTTTGGTTCTGAATGTAGACTGTCAGCTCAAAGATCAGACTGAGCCTGCAGCCCAGAAGCCATTGTTCACAGCAGCACTTGTGTCACTTCTGACTCAGAAGCTCACAGCAGCTTAAAAAAAGGGCAGATTATTTGACCAGGCAACACTGGAGAAACACTGAAAACAATGTGGGCAATTTTCACATTACTTAAAGGCCGTAAAGGCTTGACTAGTGAAAAACCTCTGCAGTGAAGCTTACTGTGCTGTAAGCAGCCTCAGTGTTACTCGTAAAATTCTGCCTACCCCATTTCAAGCATTTTGCTGGCTGAGAGGTCAGAGGAACGTGATGAAATTTCCTCGCCAGTTAGGCTGCCTGTGCCCTTCTGACCTGGGTGTATGGAACACAGGGGCAGTTTCTTGTTGCTTTGTCCCCATAATTAATGATTTTACTCTGTTCCCTTGAGTAGCAGCTGCTGCCACAATTTAATCTTCCAACCTAATCTGAGCCTTGAAACATGATATTCCTTACCTAGCTCCAGCAAGAGCCACCTGGCTGAGCAATGAAAGCTAGTGCTGAGGCAGCCACCTGGTGCCAACCTCCATGCAGAGGGGATCTATCTGCTGGACAGAGGAAAAGCCTAGGGGTTACTAAGTTACCTGAGCAGGTAATCTGCCTGGGGGCCAGGTGAACATCCTTGGACCCTGCTCTCACAGGGAGCAGGAGAGCCCACGGGGAAGGCAGGCTGCTGCTGGTGCTCCGGGGCCCTGCACACCTCCTGCCTGCTCCTGGTACCCATCAGTGTCTGCCCCATTGCAGGGGGTGCAGAGTGATGGAGGGGACACTGCCATGAGTGGTGCCATGTCTGTGACCTTTATAAAACTCTCATTGCGACAGCAGTACAAGCAATAGAAAGAACATCTCTTATACACATCTGAATAAATACAGCCTGCACCCTGCGAGCACAACAGGGCACAGGGGGGAGGCAGGGCAGCGTGAGCTACACAGGCAGCGACTGGACAAGCACAAGCGGCCAATGTGGTGCGTGACAACACAGAGACGTGTGTAGAGATTCGCTTGGGCCAGGCTCCGGCACTCAGAGAACCAGGAGAGGCATCAACAGGACGTGAAATGTGTGAGCAGACGGCTGGGGCAGCCCGCCGGCGGCAGGGAGCTGTGGATGGATGCACACTGCCTGTGGGCACAGTGCTCTTCTCGGCAGAAGCAGGCAGGGTAGCCCAGCTACATCTCTGTTTCTGCTAAGAGGCTGTCACCGAGACCTGACGTCATCAGGACCATCTGGGAGCTGGAATCTGTGGTGAGAGAGGGAGGAAACCATGAGCTGCTTGGGCTGCCAGAGAGTGCTGGGCTGTATCCCAGATCCAGAGGTGAGGATGAGGAATTAGAGTGCAGCAGGGTGGGAAGCAAACTGCTGAGAGGACTGTGAGATTAAGTAGTAACTAGGTCTACTCCGGCCATGCAGCAGAACAAAACTGATGCTTGTTTGGGGAGGAGGGAAGGCAGAGACAGCACTAAGAGCCCGGGGTGGGGAATCTGCATTTGTTATCTTGGCTGTTGAAAGGAGCATCAGCTCTAAACCCTCCCCACACACACTTGCAGGTGACAGTGGTTTTGCTGACCTCACTGTGCATTAACCAGCACTGCACAGGCCTTTAAATCTGCACTCACCCTGTGTCTTTTCACCCAGAGTGTCCAGGTGTGGCAGGGGTGGCAGGCTGCAAGCCAGCCAAACCCACCTAGGGCAGTGGTGTTGCCTTCCCAGAAGCAGGGAAGGCAGTGGGCAAGCAGCCATTTCAGGGCAGCAGAGGCCTGGAAATCCTGACCTTCTGCTCTGCATGAATGGAGGGTTTGTGCAGCCCTTCCCTTCCTGCCTCAGGAAGGTGAGGGCAGCTCTCTGGCTCTGTGGTGGCACAGAGCGCCAGCCAGGAACTCTTCCCCATGCCAAGTGAATCAGCTGCAAGGAGGATGGGCATGCATAGCAAGTAAGAAACTCAGCAGGGTACCAGGTTCCCATCCAGAAGGCTTTATAAACAGAGAACAACCCTGTTTTTTCCTGTAGGCAAGGGACATATTTAGTGGCTGTGTTTCAGTGTGATCCCATTCTACACACTGGAAACTGCTGTGTGGGATCAGTATTTTGGGGATTAATTTCTGGAAACTGGATCCAAAACTTGGCCAGAGCTGCTTGCAGAAGGATTTTTATGGTGCTAATAAATGAGGATCAGATGTTTTGAGGCTGAGGGAGTGGTTGGGTTTGTCTCCTACTAGTCTGATAAGAGAACTGGGAGGGAAGAAAGGACAACTAAAGGTAAAAACCCAGCACAAAATGAAAACCAGCAGGATCAGGGCACAGGCATGACAATATACAGTGTCATATATACAAACAATACACAACAGGCTACCGCTATCTCCATAATATGCCTTTTTGTATGTTACAAGCAACAGACAGACTGTGGCACCTGGCTAACCCTTCACATGTTCAGGATGCAGAGATAGGAATAGGTGATGCTGTGCGGATTGCAGTGCGGTTCAGGAAGCATGAGGAATGACATGAGTTCTGGCTAGGGTATCTGGCAAAGGCCCCTGAGAACCTCGATGCTCCTGCCCTTGAATTTTAAGACTTTGCACAAAGGTTTCATTCCTGCAGCATCAGGGAAATGCCTCTGAGGCACCACTGCCACTCCCTGAAGCAGCTGCATTGTCCTTGGAGGCTGCTTTTCCAAGTGCAGCTCAGCCCAATGCTACTTAACATGAAGGTTGCACCTGGAGGCTCTCTGGATGCCAGTTCACAGAACAGAACCCCTTCACCTGCCCTACCCCTAGTTCCTGTCAGCCCCTGCCCCCAGCCCAGGTCCCAGAGCTCTTACTGTTCTGGCAGATCCAGGGGTTCTTCTCCCTGGTTGTGACTTCGCGAGCCTCCGTCTCCTCCTCTTCCTCACCCTCTGAAAGCAGGTCAGAGATCTGCTGCTGTAGCTCAGGACTGATGTTGTTCTCTGCCAGGATGAGTGTCCGTAGAGCTGTGGGGTAATTCTCTACCATATCCAGCAAGGTCTAGATTGAGAGCGAGATAAACAGGCTGTCAAAGAGCACATACAGCAGGCTTGGCTGAGCAGAAAGAGCTTCAATGCTCTGCCTCCCTGCAAACTCCAGCCCTCCTCTTCTTACCTCAACCTTCCCTTGGCCATGACCTCCCTGCACCAGGCTTTCTGAGAGCCTGAAAACTTCCCATCTTTCTGTGGCTGCAGCTGAGCCTGGATTTCCTGGCTCTATAGGCTAGTCCCCTCTTCCTGCTGGGAGCTGGGACTCTGAGAGAAGAGCCTGTCCTAACAAGCCTTGGCCTGTATCTGTCCACAAAGCTTTAGCTCTGATCCTCAATCACAAATCCAACCCCTTGCTTTCTCCAAACTAAAAAGAGGTGTGTGTTTCT